ATTTTTCGCTAGCTTCTGAAATGAGTTTTCCAGGAACTTCTGTCACTTTATTTGCCATATTTCTCATATTTTCTGGTAACATACCTGCGAAGGTAGAACACACGAAAAAACGAAATTGGTAAACAGAATGTTACAATGTTATGGGTGGTTGTGAATTAAAGCATACCAAAATGAAACTATCCAATAAGGATAAAAGTATAAAACTTGGGCACTGTGTTACAGTATAACTCCAGTATACATAAGATTTCATTTTGATAAATTACACAGTGTTGTTATACAGTAATATTGTTACAAAAGGAGACAAGGGCCAGGAAACAGATCGTTTATTAAGGAAATTACCACATATCTATAGATTTTCATGTACATTAATATAGATTATTGTTAGCAGACAAACACACTCTTCTGATTGGTTGTTTTTCGCTGAAAGTTAATCTTCCATCTCTTTGTGACTGTTTCTTCAATGTCAGATCATCTCTATGCTAACTGTATTTGCCTACGAAAAGTCTGCTGCGGTTGGTTCTTGAATCAGTCTTTGTTCATATTTTTCTCTCCACCAATATTGGGGACGTAAACATTGACGTAAATTACTGTCTACCAATTTGGCTAGCAGCCAGCTCTCACCACAGTATTAACTGATGACCATGTTTCGAATACAATTTATTGCCACTCATAATCATATAAAGGCACTACTCACACACAACTTTCTTGCTTCATTTGTATACATGAGTAAAAATAGATGATTAGACATTTGAATGAAACCAGTAATATAGGATACTGTACATTCAGAAATAATATTAGTGTTTTCAATCAAATACAATCAGATGGGAAATAAGATGTTTTATAATAAAAATAAGTAACTTTTTAGAATGTTATAATGTATGTGGATTGAAATGGGATAGACTGGTGGTAATAATATCTTCCCTATCTTTGGTATTTGCATGGAATCATTTCTGTTGCATGTGTTGTGTTGGGTGTAGACTCAATGAACCAGGATTCAGCAGTCAATCTTTCTCTCCGACTACCAGCACTGCATGCACTAACACACAACCACACAATTGAGTGTGTGGGACAGGGATAAAATTCTAAAAAGTTATATATGTAGGTGGAGAGAGAAGGATTGACTGCTGAATCCTGGTTCATCGAGTCTACACCCAACACAACACATGCATTAGAAGTGACTCAACGCAAATACCAGAAATATGGAAGATGTTATTACCACCACCAGTCAGTCAGTCAGTCAGTCAGTTAGTCAGTCAGTCAGTCAAATCAGAGGAGGATAATACATGATCTTAAAATTCTATTTCAATCACGTGCATTCTAACAAGCTACTTATTTTGGCTATATAAACACTCGTCTTATTTCCCATCTGATTGTATTTGATTGATAACACTCATATTATTATTATTTCTGAATGTACTTTATCCCGAATTGATTTTATTCAAATGTCTAATCAGTTAGTTGGAGGATTTAATTATGAGCTGACATGAGTTAGAGGACCATTGGAAAACCTGGGAGTTTAAGGCTCTCCATCAGTAAGCACCCACCGGGTTCGAACCCAGTCTAATCAATTGATAGGAAAGTCTCAATTGAATTAAATATAGTGAATATTCCCCGCAAACTGTGTGTCATTTGTGAATAAAGAATATGACCAGTGAACAAGTCAAATTGATTTTATGGTGAGCACTTCATCACTGTTTAGATTTATCACTTCTGAGGTGTTTTGTTGACAGGTTCTTTAGCCTTCAGAATTGTATAGAATCATTTGAATGGTGTAACAGTATAAGTGAAAGTAGGTAGATATTACAGAACTCACGTTTCATGATCCTTATTACCTGTCAGCTATTTGTACTCCACGTGCACTGGAATTCAGGCTCCAGGTACCGAATGAAACTTGAATCCACTAACCAGTGAACCAGTTTAATGGTTGGTGACTATCAGTGGAATCAAGAATAATGTGCATTTCGTCCTATTTGGGGTTTGCCACTGTATATACCTGCATTCCCCTGTCAGTGAGTGATGATGTTTCCAAAGAGGCTCAAACCGAGTATCGATCGTCTCAAACTTCAATGCGTTATCCAAAAGACCACTGAAGCCACGACAGCCACCCCTTTTGCAACGGGTATCGGATATCTTTTAATTCACTTCATACTTTCTCTTCGATTGAACTGGAGCGTTTGCCCTCTGTCGAAATGTCGGCTCCGACATGTCCCAACTGAATTAAACGGTACCACTTAACATTTCAAAAGACAGGGAGTTACTCCGTTGTTCAGTAGACATGAATTTGATGTATAATGCATTGATCTTACACTTTATTGAATTACACAATTAAAGTTTTAGCTCACATATTACTACCTATACACCAATAAGGTTAGATAAATTTAGATAAAACTGTTTGTACTACTAAGTAGCCTGTTTTAAAGTAGTATAGAAATATTAAAACAAAAATTTACTTGTCAAAATATTTTCATCTTCGGCTTCATTTGCTTCAGCAGCCAGTTCAGCTGGTGTTTTACGTTTACGACCAAGACGACCTTCAGGGCTTGAAAAATCAAAATCATTTGGAATTTCTTCTTCCTTCTTTTTAATTCCATACTAAATAGAGAAGAGTAAAACAAAAATAACAGAAGGATCTTTGATATTATTAAATTATGGAATAATGCTGTTAATATTATTATCTTTCGTTCCTAGAGGAACACAGGAACGTCTCCATTGCGCGTTTGGCTCCCCACCAACGTTCCCACCTCGCTTCAAGTCTTCTCACATGCTTTTATCTCCTCCTTTATGACACCCCACCCTTACACTGACGACCAACTCGCCAACTCTCATTCGAGTTTCACTCGACCGATGGTACAGCGTGATGTCACTCACTACATGGTTTTTTTCTCAGAGTACGGCCAATCCAATCCACCTCTATTTCTTCCTGCATATGGGTTGCACATTTAGTTGTTTCTGGGTCGGTTCGTTCCTAGAGATCCCTCCCTGTTGCTGATCTTCAAGTGAAACTGCATATAGGTAAATTCCTATTTTTGCAGGCCACCATGAAGTTATGTTCATAGTGGCTCAAAATAAGGTACACATTTCTCTGCCCTAACGTACAATCATGAGTGGTCGCGGTAAAGGTGGAAAGTCTCGTGCAAAGGCAAAGGCCCGATCTGCTCGTGCTGGTCTTCAGTTCCCAGTCGGCCGTGTTCATCGTCTTCTACGCAAGAGGAACTACGCTGAACGCGTCGGTGCTGGGGCTCCAGTCTATTTGGCAGCTGTTCTTGAATACTTGGCCGCTGAAGTTCTCGAATTGGCTGGCAGTGCCGCGCGCGACAACAAGAAGACCCGTATCATCCCTCGTCACTTGCAATTGGCCATCCGCAATGACGAGGAGTTGAACGAACTGCTCGGTGGTGTAACCATCGCCCAGGGTGGTGTCCTGCCTAATATCCAGGCTGTGCTGCTGCCCAAGAAGACCGATAAAGTGAAGGCCTAAGACCGGTATGTGTGTGTGTGTGGCTTGGGAGCCAGAGAACGTGAAACCGGCCCTTTTTAGGGCCACTTAGTGCACTTGAATATAGTGTGTTCTTCATACACGTAAATAGATGGGTAAAACGAAGTATAACTGAATAGAAGTAACTGAATAGATTTGTCACATTGTGCTCTGTAGGCGACTAGGCAGCCCGACCTCACCACTGATGAGCTCGACTCGAAAACGAATAAATCTTCCCTCCGATGTTGAAATTACTAGAGTGATCTGGCTTCTTAGTAAGCATTACTGATCCATGTAAATATTACCAAACTACACATATCAACGAATCAGTCAGTAGTATACAGAGTCATACATTTATTTTCGCCTTTTTTTAGGGGATGTGAATCAAAGTCTATGTTGATATAAGTATTAAACTTGGACACTGCCGTGGTAGAGTATAACTCCATTTTGGATAAGATTTTATTATGATAAGTCACACAGTGTGTTACACATCATAAGTTAATATTACTGTGTAACACTATGTGACTTATCAAAATAAAATCTATGCAAATATTTTATCCGCCAAGATAAGAAAGAAAAACAAGTCTGCTTACTTTATCCCGTATGCCTTGACGCATTACTTCTCTTTCTTCTTCCATTTTACGGTGTTTAGCCTCTCGCTTCTCTTCGGCTTCACGTAATGCTGCTTCCACCTCGGGATCGATTTCTTTACGTCCACCGAGGACACCTTCTCCTTCGTCTTTTTTATCACCTAATGCACCTAAAAGTGTGTTGTGTTGAAGAATAGGAAGGAGGAAAAAAAACGAAGGGAGAAATAAATTCACTTATTTTAAAACAATTAGTTCCATTTATGAATTTAAACAATGCAATAAGAAGACGTGCTTTGTCTGAATCGTGTAATGTGTATTTGCGCAACACACACACACATTTCGAACAATCTGGGGCGTATCCTAAATTTTGTGGAAGCCCTAGCAATGAGAAAGTTTAAACCACCTTTATGTGTACAGAGCAATAATTCGTCATCACACTAAACCTCCCTTGGTAAACTTTGTTTTGATACCAGCCAGGGTAGATGTACTATTACCTCTGTTATTAGGTTTAGTGATTGATCTTCATTGTTATTTTGACCTTCAATATGTCCTTTTAACTTGACCTAACTTGTCTATTTTCTCAACTCTTAACTCTTTATTAATTTCATTTGTATATTCATTCCTATGACAAGTCCGTGTGTGATGGATCAGATTGTTCGAAATGTGTGCTGCGGAAATACATTACATACACAATTCAAACAAATTACGTCTTCTTATTGCTTTGTCTAAACTTACTTATGAAAATGTTTAAAATTTAGAGAATTCCTTTCAGTAGAAATCTTAGTAAACTCGGAACACTCTTCGTTTCTGTGAGATTATGCCTCAGGACCGGTCTACGATGATTGCTCGATTGAACATACGAAGTGAAGTTGTTCACCATACTGATAATTTCATTTATTTGGCAGTTCGCATCAGCCCTACTGCCGTGATTGTAGACGACATTTCGGTACGGATAAAAATTGTTCATGTGCCATTTACCAGCGTATATATCATCCCTGGCGTAGACGTGATATCCGCCTGTTCACCAGAGGATTTGTGCACTTCTCACAAGTTCACCGCGTACATTTTAATAGCTGTGAGACTTAGCTATTGAAAGTGAGAGATCAGAAGAGATTAGCTGTCTTTGACCACGGATGTTTGCTTGTGGTGAGAACTGGCTGCTAGCCTAATTGGTAGATAGTAATTTACGTCAATGTTTACGTCCCCCAATATTGGTCGAGAGAAAAATATGAACAAAGACCGATTCAAGAACCAACCACAGCAGACTTTTCGTAGGCAAATACAGTTAGCATAGAGATGACCTGACATTGAAAAAACAGTCACAAAGAGATGGAAGGTTAACTTTCAGTGAGAAACAACCAATCAGAAGAGTGTTTTTCTGCTAACAATAATCTATAATACGTACATGAAAATCTATAAATATGTGTTGGTTTCGTAAATAAGCGATCTGTTGCCTGGCACTTGTCTTCTGTTATTACATGCTTACTATCTCCCTTGTTAAATGGTAATGATATGATGACAGATATTTAGCTAGACGCAGAGTGTTAGGTGAGAAAGGAAATTCACTCAATGAGGTTGTGAAGTTACATCGACTGAGATGCTTGGGACACATGTTACGCCAATAAAGGTATCTCTTTCCTGGACAGGGAATATCAGCCGACATAAAATTGGGTAGGGAAAAGAGTTAGTAGTGGTCAAACCAAAACCAGCCATGAATCCATATGACAGTTGGTTTCAGCCAACCATATAGAAAAGTATAGACTGTTTAGTTTAGGGTCTTAGAGATGCTATGAACAAATAAGTTAGAACTGTTTATGAGATGGATTGAAACCGTTCCCAATGGCACATGGGTATTCCTATTTTTTATTCTTTTAGACCCATTGAATTCTGATGTTTTTCCGATCAATATCCACTGGAAACGTTTATAGGAAGTCGCCTTTTTTTCACTTAATTAGGAACACAACGATGACTTCAATTTCCTGGAAGAAGAGACGATGGAACGGTTGGAAAGTTCATCTGAAGAAAAAAACCTGAACTGGACAGTATCTTCACCACAACAGCTTCTGCTCTATAAGCTATAGGCAAGGATTAGTAAGAACACTATACCACAGAGCCAGAAAGTTATGTTCGTCTAACAAGGTGGAGGAAGAATTAAGCTTTGTTGAAAAATGCCTTAAGGAAAACGAGTATCCAAAGGGATGTATCCTAAAGTACAGCAGAGAAAAAGATGAGAAAGCGAAGTATCCAACAGTTGGAAAGAGGAAAGTGTTTATTTGCCTCCCATTCACAAAGGAGAAGGCGTATCACAAAAGGTTGACAAGTGGGTGAAAGCAGCAATAAAGAGATGCTTCCCACCTTCAGCTAAGCTGGTGACACTATGAAGCACTACATGCACTATAAGCCAGTCGAAACTGGATAAGTACCTCCAACTGCATTCATAAATTTATTTGTAACTGCGGCAGCAAGTACATTGGAAGGACAGAAAGAAGGGCTTCTATCGGGTTTTCAGGGCGTATTCCAAGAAACTTATGCTTAAAAGGAAGCAGATATTTACAAAGTACAACTACCAGACACCCACCCTGTGGACATCGGTCATTTTGTCGACATTTCCAAATCCTTCAAAATATTAAACATACAACAGAGAATCTACAATGATTTACTGTTGAAGCAATTGCAATCAAACGTTTCAGATCAAAGTTATGCACACGGACAAAGAGACTGTATTCAATCTCTCACTCCCTTGGTAACTAACCATATTATTGCACGGTCGGTTCCTGTTTGGTTTGCTCTCAGAGATCCCTATTGCTGATTTTTTCTGGTCGGCCATCTGACCTTGAGTATTGAGCGGAAGCAGTTGTTGATGAAGGTCTGTAGTTGGTTTTAAGGGCCCTTTATGACGCTCTAAGTCTCTGAACCATACAGTTAGTAGCACTGACTGACTTAACATTGGAGTTGAAAATTCGGATCTTTTTTTTGATGCTCAGTGCTCGCTGAAGTTTCTGTAGCAACCATGTTTACAGGGTGGGGCTGCTAGCCTCACGCTTGAGAAGGGGGTTGTTACATTAAAATATAGTTCACGAGGGGCAGCGACATTGTGGGTTGCTCCCCTTAAAGTGTAAAACCTGTATGAAGACGAAATACTTTGGAACTAAGTAAGCTGAACGTTCCTATACAATGTGACCGCTTATTGTCTGAAATAAAGCTTTATCACTATTATTGTGGTGAGAGCAGCCTGCTAGCCAATTGGTTGACATTAATCTACGTCAATGTCTAGGTCACTAATATGGGCCGTGGGAAAATATGAACAAGGCTGTTTTAACAACCAATCACAGCAAACTTAAATGTGGGCAAATATGATTCGCAGATAGATGGCTCCACTTTCCGAGGAACTCGAAAACAACCAATCACAAGACTGCATTTGTCTACTTGACTAGGCTATAATAATGCATGTGAAATTTATATCAATACGTGTTGATTTCCGTAATAAAACGATCTGTTGCCTGGCCCTTGTCTTCTGTTGTTACATTATTATCATTCTAAACTGACTGACTGACTGACTGACTGACTGAATGACCGAGTTTCAATGTAGAACTCTCCATTGAAGTTCAACTCCGTTCGCCTTCTCACTTTCCTTATAACATATTAATATATAGAAAAAATCTTCAGGTATTGGTTTGGTAGTCTGATTTCTCAAAAACTCGAAGATATGCAAGTGAAAAGCAACAAGCTGGCAGAAGAAGCATCAAAGATAGGACTTCAAGTGAACATAGAGAAAACAGAAGTGATGAAGATTCCTGGGCAACACCACCAACAACAACAACAACAATAGACAACAATCAGCCAGCATAAATGGGAGGAACCTGAAAGAAACAACCTCCTTCATCTACCTACCCACCTGGGAAGCATCGTTTCAACTACAGGCCAGCGGAATTGACGAGGATATCAAAGCCAGAATCGGAAAAGCAAGAAAGGTTTTCATCACTCTTAGGTCTGTGTGGAGGTCAGCATCACTCAGCATCAAAAATAACATCCGGATTCTCAACTCCAATGTGAAGTGAGTCAGTGCTACTATACTGATCAGAGACTTGCACTGCGGGTCATAAAGGGCACCTCAAACAAACTTCAAACCTTCATTAACAGTTGTCTTCGCTCAATACTCGAGATCAGATGGCCGGCCAGAAAAGATCAGCAACAAAGATCTATGAAAGCAAACCAACCATGAAACTATAGTGCAATAAATAGGCAGGAAGAAATGGAGATGGATTGGCCATACCCTGAGGAAACCATCAAGTGACATCACTAGACAAGCCATCACTCGAGTGGAACTCGAAAGGGAAGCGGCGAGTTGGTCGTCAGTGCAAGGGTGACTTGGAGGAGGTCATGCAGAGAAGAGGAGATGAAAGCGTGTGGGCAGACTTGGAGCGGAGTGAAAAAGCTGGCAGAAAACAGAAGGCAACAGAGACGCGTGGGGCGCTGAAGCCATATGTTCCTCTAGGAACTAAAGGATATAATAGTAATAATAATTGGTTTGTAGAGATCTGATTGACTATTAACGGTCTTCGAGGTCGCCTTGTAACTAGAAGGTCCGGGGTTCGAAACCCTGCCGGTGGACGCGTACTGATGAAGGGCTCCAAATTAGGATGAAACAGCTATCCAGTACTCCATTACTGGTTTCCCAATGGTTCTCTAACCAATGTCAGCTGACGATGAAATCCTGTAACCAATAGAAAAATTCTCTTCAAAAGAACTATCATTGGGGAAGAATGAAGAGCAGGAAGTGTAGTAACAAAGAGTGAATGCATCTGTGACATTGATGAGAACGGTTTCTAGTCATATTGAAAATAGTCTTCAGGTATTAATTTTCACCAAACCAATAGTCAAATAGTTGGTAGGTTGATCCCGCGATTTGATTTGACCACCCTTAACTCTTGTTCAACCTGATCCTATGTCAGTTAACAGTTCATGACGAGGAAGTCAGCAGTTCGGCATGTATAGGCGTGTTCTAGCTGTCTCAATCGACATAGATTCACGGGCTTACCAAGTGACTTTCTCTCCATGCCTGGTAACTCTAGGCCTAACCTCAATATTACTCACCATATTTTATTACTTACCACGAGGGAAAGAAATGATGTTTTCAAAGTACACCTGAGGCTCGACTCTCCTGAAAAAAGACCACTAGATCTTTTCAAAATTCTCTTAGGTAGCGAAATACAGTGGAACCAAGACTGTTTAAACAGGACATATTTATTTCTATAAACCAAGCCTCATCCCCTCCTCAAATATTGATTACGAATCAGTGTTTTAGATGATAAACTTTATGGCAATCGACAATTACTTCACCAGCACTGCTCTTCAAAAGATCCACAGTTAACATTTCATCATATATCTTTTTTATTGATATTCAAACTCAAATCACCAAAATTATGACATAGCTTGATTTCAGAAACACACCGCTGAAAATTAAGCGTTTTAATACCATGCTACTATTAAGTAGTTTGGCTATTTAGACTAAATTTTGTTGATTAATAATTATCTCAAGTTGGACGTTTAGCTGGTATCAGTCATACAACCACTAAAACCTATCTAGAGGTACTGGATGGCTGTTTTGTCCCAACTTAGAACTCTTCATCAGTGTAAGAACAGGAACCTTCTATTGATTGAAACCAGAACCTTCAGGTTACGAGGAGATCCCGTCGACTATTTAGCCCATGAATTCTGATTTTCGTTAATTCGTGATTTGTGGATTCTGTCTCAGCGCCTAAATTTTTTATTTTGATGACAGCTTGATTCCAAACCGTATTTTTAGTACAAGTATGAAATTTTCAGCATGTGATATCAGTAGGCCAAATTTTACAGGCCAACCATAGATATCAAGTGTGCGTCGGCGGAGGGTCGAACACCGGACCATATGCATGGTGGGCGAGAGTCCTAACCACACTATGCCACCGACCGATAGGCTCTCTTCGCAACCTGGTAATCCTGAGTTATATCTCCAGTGAGATCCAGTACTAGCACTTGTGAAGAGTCCCAAAATAGGATGAAACAGCTATGCAGCCATCCCTGGTGTATTTCCAATGGTTCTCTAATTGATGTCACCTCAAGATGAAGTTAAAAAAAGAAATTTAATCAAATCCCTATGATGAAACAAATGAAGCCTTACCTTTCACTGAATCTAACTGATTGCCAATGAGTTGTTTTGCAATGAAACTAGCCATTTTTTAACTGGTTTTTTTCTATCGACTGAGTTGAGTTGTGATGAGATGTTGTAGTTGTTAGCTGATTGACTCTTTCCCGGTTTGATCCGACTTATTCTCCGACTGTATTGTATTTTATCGCTTCCTTAGGGTTTATTCTTCTACCGAAGCCTTTGATTTCTGAGGCATTTACTAATAACTCTGGAGAGGAAAGAAAGAAGACGAAAAAATCGATAGAAATGATTCTTCTAATAGTGTCATTACGCAATAAAGACATGGTTAAGTAATACCAGGATTACACTATGCAGTGACCTATAGACTGAACTTTGACACTTTGAGATTATGAGTATCAACTAATGTTGTAAAAATGGGAAGATAGTATCGATTTAGACGAAGATAATAAAACTAATGACATTGAAAATGGAGAACAATAAGCACCACTAATATCACAAGCAGTTATATTCTACTAATGAGTCCTAGGTAGAACCACACACACAAACATATATATATATATATCTTGAATTCTAGAGCATTCTATTTGAATAAAAATCCAGTGTGCTCTTTGATAGTTCAACGAAATAGTTTCAGCTAATATCAGATTTAAATTTGGATAAGGTGTTTAAATATTTGAATTTATTAAATATTCCAATAGACCTCGTATTCGTCTGCTGCACACAGCTGAGGCAGGCGATAGGCATTCGAACTATTAAACCTAAACTATGCATTCAAATGAAGTTCGTACAGCTATTATCCCTCTCTTGTTGGCCTAATAAGACATAACCAACTAATGACTTCTACACCACCCCTTGTTTATATTTTCAATCGCTCCCTCTCTTATCATCCCTTAATCTTATCACATCTTCATTATAAACGTGTTTCATTTCTTTCCCCTACAATCTAACATTACGTAATCGGTTCATTTGTTCTTACTAGCCTTTATCGACTACTTCCACCTGAACAATTGTTTGTTTAATCACACTGTTTTTCATTATTCGTGTTATCACAGATTGCCTCATTTTTTCATCCTTATTATTGATAAGACCCTTATTATTATTATTACTATTATTAATATTATCATTACCACTATTATGACTAACTGCACAATTTATATTCACCATCGTATTATCCTATAGACAAAACACCATGATTGGTTTATATTTGAATTTTTATTTGTAAACTTATATATATTAGAGTTAAGCCTGATGAGATCTAATTGAAAGTACAATATTGTTTAAATATTTTCTGATTTAAAAACAATGAATATATGCTGGATAACTGGAGGCAGTCCACACGAAGTCCTGGACCTGGGCTCGTCATTATTGGCGTTCATCATCACGGTATTATCTGAGTTCAGCAAGTCAGACCAAGTGCTGCAGTCAGACAAGCTGCCAATATATCACACATAAACGTTGAAAGGTATTCAAAACTTTACGATACCGACCGCCATGATGGAGATGTACAGACCACCATTTTCTGAAAACAGCTTGATTCCGCACTGTATTTTTGGTACAAATATGGAATTTTCAGCATGGATATCAGTATACAATTGGTGGGGGTGGTGGCTAGCAGTGGAATCCAGGATGCGCATTTCGTCCTATTTGGGACTCGTCATCTGGATGTACCTGCATTTCTCAGTGAGTGATGATGTTCCCACTGAGGCTCGAACCCAGTACCCATAGTTTCAAACGCCAAAGCGTTATCCACTAGACCACTTCGGCCATGAGAGCTGGCCACCTCTTGTGCAACGGGTCATATTAATTATTGAATTGAATTTTTGATTTTCCCGTCGATTGATTGGACTGAAGTGCTCGGTCTCAGGTTGACATGTCGGCTTCTTGTGGTGGCCACCACCCCCACCAATTGTATAGTAACTAAATGCCCAGACATCGTCGAAGCATCTTCACAAGAAGCCGACATGTCAACCTGAGACCGAGCACTTCAGTCCAATCAATCGACGAGAAAATCAAAAAATTCAATTCAATAATGGATATCAGTAGCTCAAACATTCTGGCCGACCATTCATATCAGGTGTACTCCAGCAGGGGATCGAACCTCGGACGATGTGTATGGTCGGCGAGAGTCCTAACCACTCACGGAAAGTTTGTTTGAGGCAATTAGGGATCTGTAAAGTGCCTGATTGTGGTCTACTGGATGTTGAAAGAAAATCAACGTTTGGAGACTCAGTTTGATAATATGGCTCAAAATTATTCTTTATAAATTCACAGATGTATTAAAGCCTCACTTTCTTCAGTAGATTTCTATTCGTCGCAGTACTTCTGAATCTATTTTTTCTGTCTTTACCTCTAGTGTGGCAGCTTAAACTCCTGGACATTTTTATAAAGCCTAATGTTGAAACTCAATTATTTATTTAAACATAGTTTCGGAGATACTGATCATGTGACTTAATTACTCAATTTTTAGCGAATTATTCCAGTCTACGAATCACGCAATATCACCACGCCTCACAAGATAACTGTGGTTATTAGCCTAGTACAATGAAGAACATCTGTTCAAGGTAATTAAGTTCAAGCAAACAGATCCTGTTCACAGTACACTTTTCCTCCTTGAACCCGATTACACACAACACACACATATGTCTTTCAAACTCTTAAATCTTACTCCTTTTCAAAATGGATTTTTTAAATTTTAAATTCACGTTCCCCAGGGAAACATAGGGCCTCAAGCTAATGGCTTGAAGTTTCTGTAGCAGTCTTTAATTTTACAGGACGGGGTTGATAGCCTCATGCCCAACATCTCCTCTTTACCAGCATTATTTATGGCTTAGCGAGGTAAAGGAGTGCGTCGGTGGCCAGGAGCGAACCCTGGACCATGTGCATGGTTGGTGAGCCTCCCAACCGCTATACCACCGACGCGCTCTTCAAAATGGATTACAGTACCTCAATTTCCTTTTTTTATTCCTTTACATTCACAATGGAACATAGGGGGCTTCTAGCTAAAGGCTTTAAGTTTTTGTAGGAGTGGTGTTTATTTTTAATAGATGGGGATGCTAGCCAGCATCCTGCCCAACCTTTTCTATTTACCAGTCTAATTACTGGCTTAGCGAAGTAAAGGAGTGAGTTGGCAGATCCGGGAATCGAACCCCGAACCACCTCTGTACCACCAACGCACTCTTCAATTTCATAATGGTTACTAATTAATGACATGTACATATTCCATCGCTTTTTTGGAGCAGATCGAATTCTATCAGTCAGTCAGGTTTTCACAATATGGCCGACATACTAGATGGCTCATTATCGTATTGCACTCTCAAATGATGTTGGATGGTTGAAAGCAATCGGTTGAGAAGCTATTCCCTGATTTCAGTCTCGTGATTGTTAACACTTACTAGCCAGCAAGGTATGCCTACAGTCTTGAAGGAACTCATGTCCCACTGACTGAGATTTGAATCTGACTAACCCACTCAGTGATGCAGTCAGAGGTGTAATGATTGAATTATTCGGGCTAAAAATATTAACTACTTTTCATTAGAAGCTAAACACCTCAATCGCTATACAAAATCATTCATGCATATGATAATAACAAAAATAATAGTAAACAATAAATGTTTTTCATCCCTTTTTTTCATATGGTCACGTGATCGTTTTATTGATTATTATATTGATTGCTATTTTCAATTTAGCCTTGACGCAACTTAGAGAAAAACAAAATCAAATGATTGAACAGATTAACAAATGAAATATTGAGAAAAACAATAGTTGCTATGGCCTACTACTGTGTGCGTGTGGATGGAAGAGTGGATGGGTGTGTTGAGAAACATCTTTAATGAGTCGTGAAATACTAAAGATAGTAGGCTGAACAAATCAAAGTTTATTTACTTCTTCCAAAGGATACTACTATTAGTAGTATAAAATTAGATCCGAAAAAAGTAACCAAGACTGTCCGAATTGAATCATCTCAGTGGCATAATATATTTCAAAGTGTATTTGATCACGAGTCAATAGCAGTTAGGGCAGTGATTGAGAACCATGAACTCTTCATCTGTGCACACCTAAAGACCTATCAGGGATCAAACCCGATATCTTCAGGTTATGAGATGAAGCTCAACGATTATTCGGGCTATCCAATGGTCCATGATCTCTAACTTTATCAACTCTTGTAATACAACGCTACCCTCAATGAGTGCTTTATATGAGCATCCATTTTCACCTTGACACAATTGGACCTCACTGGTTTCGACTTCATGGAGAGGCTCCTAGAAATACATCCAAAACTGGGATGTCCTAAAATAAGACTAAACAGCCATATATCCAGTGCACCCTGATTATTTTCAGTAATCTGTCGAACTGATATTGGTACAGTTATGAGAATGAAAGTGGTCGAAAAGTGAATTTTCTTCGCTGAATTCTTTGTTTTTATGTCTCGATGAGAATTATCAATTTAATTTGATACTGGTTTATAATGACATCTAGCAATTGAAGTCAAATCAAAACTGTTCAAAAATTCATCATCTAGGTAAAATTTATAAGAAGTCGGATGAGTATTTCTTCACCTCACATTCTGTTTTGAATTCGATTATGAAGAATAGATGAAGGGGATTGGTTAAAGTCGTGTTACACCTCTTAAGCTGTCTATGGTGTAACCTCGCCTAGTTTACTTGGTGGTCCTGAACTGATGGATAAGAGGGAGTGTTTAGCGTTGCGTTAGTCACCCTACCGTGGGAATCTCAGTGCAGTTGCTGTAGAAACTTCAAAACGCAGAAAAAATACAACAATTCAGCCTGCGGCGTAAGGTGTTTCCACACATAATATTAGCAAACATGGCAATTTGGTGCTCCAGCTCTAAGAAAAAGCTGACAAGACAATTTTAAAACAGTTAAATTTAACATCTAATACGATTACAGCATTTATTTAACCACATAATACACTAAATCACAAAAGACCACTAACCGTTTAAGGAAATTCAAATCGTGATCACAACCACCTGCGTTTTATGCATTCAAGTAGGTGTAAACTGAGGCTTGTCAAATTTATTAATACTATTATTAATCCCTTGGGTTCTGA